GATGAGGACGATGAGGAGGAAGAACTGCGCGAAGAATGGTGGTAGCGCGATGAACTCTCGCTGCCCCTTGAGCGCTTGTTGGAAGAGGATGACGGCGGCGGCGGCGAGGCGGGACGGGGCGCAGCGTAGTTGTGTTGCAGCTGGATCTCAAAGTGGTGGCGCTTGAGAGCTCGCTGCTCCTCTTCCTTCTGCTGACGGACAGACAGGTCAGCCAATGAGGGGAGAGGGGAGGGGCTGGAGGAACAGCGCACCACTGTCACCACGTCAATTTCCTCCTCTGTTAGAGAGAAGAGAAGAAGAAAGGAGAGCCGGGTTAAATGAGTTGTCTGGCACAACCTTGTTTCCTGACCCTAATTTTATCTGCTGTGTGAAGGCGTGGGAGGGCGTGCGAGGAGCGCCGACACAAAAACAAGAGTGTAGTTACTGTACACAGCTCACCAATGTGGGTCTCTCACCCACACACACACACACACACACTGTAGTAAACTAATCGGTAGTGAAAATCTTACTTTCATAGCGTAACTCTTAATGAGTGAAGGCAGCTCCAGTTTCTGTCAAATGTACAATAAAGTATTTCAAGTGAAGCTGAAGCATGAAAAGCTATTTACTGTAAAAATGAATAGGGAGTAAAAAAAACTATTCCCAAAAAAAAAGGCCTTTTTTTAAAAACCATATTATAACAATGAGTAATTCTTCGATAGCCAGTCTGCCTCTTCCTCCCTGGTTCATACTCAGGGATGCCAGAGGGCTCGAGTCAGTGAAGTGACTCATTACGAGCTAATGGATAGAGCCGCAACTGTTACCGCTGAACTGAGTCAGTCACACACACATACACACACACACACGCCCTTAGTCAATTCTCCTTCCTCAAAGCTCTCATCTACTCATGTCAGTCAACAGCTAAATCCCGCCCACGCTTCAACAGCTCTTAAAGGCTCCTGCAGATTACAGGTGGGCGGCCGGCATCCAGATAAGATGAGGGCAAAGAACAATTTGGGCTCAGTGCCACTAAATATTAACAGTGAATTATCAATGACATGCCAGTGAAGCGGTTCTGGGCGAGGACTGTTTATACCGATAAGCTGCACAATAACAAAGCAGGAATGAGATCAAAGTCCGATATGGTCATCCTAACTGAGCCGTTCATCTATAAAGAACTGAAAAAGAGCAGCATTTTGTTAAAGATATGATCATGGAGGACTCTTGAAGACGCACAACAACCGATATCTCTGCTTCACATGAGAGAAAATCATGAATGTTAAATGAGGATAAGGTCTCCACTCACCAGAGTCGCTGGATGAATATGTGGACAGCTCGCCACCGGTGGAGCCGTAGTCCGATGTGGCCTCGCTGGTCTCCTGAGTGTCCATCAGGTTCTGGCAGTCCAGCGTGGAGCCGGCAATCTCCTCAAATATGCTGGTGTTGATGTCAGACAGCAGCGGGCTGGAGCCGAGTATGGAGGAGACCAGCTTCTCCTCCAGGCCCTTGTCCGGTACCAGGCACCGCCACAGGTCCTCGCCGCCCTCCTCCAGGGGGGAGCAGGGCTCACTGGGCTCGCCATCCTTCTCAGCAGCGTCAGAGTGGAAGAAGTCGTAGTTCCAGTTGAGTTGCATGTCCTGATCCTCCAGCAGGATGTCCGACACGTAGCTCAGCTGGTCCTCCTTAGACAGGGGCTTGCTGCCATCGGCCCCGGCCTTCATAGGGGGGGACTGTGGGGGGGTCGGCAGCGACTGGAGGTCCTTCATCAAACTCTGGCAGAACTCATCGTCAAACAGCAGCGGCTCCGAGTAAAGCCAGTCCTGCGACTGAGCGAAGCTTTGCAACATGTTTGATTGCAGCATCTGGGAGAACAAACAAAAAAAAACAGCACAAAATATAAAAAAAAAAAATCTGAGAGGTAGAGGAGCGCTTTAGGTTTAAATCCAGAGAGTGGCGCCAGTAGTGTGCTAAAAGCAGCGGCGTGTCAGAGCGGACCGGGTAAATCCAGCAGCGGCAACACGTGTTGTAGTGAAAGTTTAAACCACTTTCTCCAGACTGAGACCCCGAACAGCAGCATGCCACCTTTTATCTGTGTTTACATCACTGTAGCCCCGCCCCGCTGCTCCCCAGGAGGCCACAAATCACCCAAAGAGATTTAACGCCCCCCCTCCCCCCCTCCACATGACATCATAGGAACAGCTGGGAGAGACAGGGGCAGAAAGGTAACACCTCTTTCCACAATTTACATTTTTCCTTCTCAGAAAGTTAATAAAAAGACCTGAAACCGAGCCCGGCTGCCTGCTGACACGGGAAACCAAACCAGAGGACGGGTGGCTTTTATTTTCTCTTCTTGTTGTTACTCAACACTTTAAAACCTCTGATACTCTCTCACACACACTTCAGCTACCCTGCCGGAAATCAAGACGAGAATATGGCACAACTTCTTGCAAAGACTTAAAACAAAACCTGCTTTGCTTAGCACAAAGTCTGGGTTAGGATCTTAAATGAAAACACTATAACCAGTCAGTACATGCATGCTTCTGCTGCCGTTAAACCACCATTAAATACTTCTAATGACATTGCGAAATGCAATAAAATAAATCAGATTTTAAAAAAAGGAGAGAGAAAAGGGGTGTGCTCAGTTAAGAAGCAGCCTTATTTGGCGTGGGAGAAATCCTAAAATATTCCTATGGGGCTCTTATGGTATGTGCCTGCAGGTTATAGCAGGCTGCACTGGAGAACAAAGCCACAGTGTGTGTGTGGCGCAGACACACTCCTGGGAGTTAAAGGCTGCCTTTCTTTACCGTCACAGCCAAAAACTTATAACACACACCCAGCATGCACCGTGACAGGAAGGTAGAGAAAAAAAAAAAAAAAAAGTCATTAATAGTGTTTATGATGACACCCCCCCTACACACACACACACACACGACATAACACTAAAAGACTGTATTACACATGAATGCATACCATTCAGTGCAACTCGCACATTAAAGAGCATCTAAAATACACATATTTCTAAATGAGGTTTTGAATGCTCTTTCTTGTTTAATCGCGTCGGCTGCACGACTCAGTTTATATTAGATTTTTAACAAGATTTTTTTTTTTTTTTTTACACATTTACAAAAAACAAAACAATGCAACAAGCCGTATTATCTATACTAGTTCAGTATTTCCACCTTAAAGTCAATGCAGCAGAAAAGAAAAAAGCTCAAAGTCCTTTAAATAATCCAAAGGTTGGGGTCCTTTAAACCCCGCATGGGTTGAGCAACCCTCGGGTCTCCACGTGAAACCGGCACTCTGATTTATTCTTATAACTCACCACTTTAAAACTACACATGACAGTAAATTACAACAAATAATAAACGCACATTTTAAACCCCACAAGCCCACGAAGTGACTGTGTGAATTTAGACCCCAAGTAAAACTCCTGCGCATGCAGCTCGCCTTACCTTCAACTGTCCTTAGGTAGAAGAAGGAGGAAACTCAAAATGAAGAATAAAAAAAAACGGAGGAAACGTCCGAAATATCCCAAATAAGATCCAACCGACACACAAAAGTGCAAAACTACAAAATTATCTTCTAACGTGAAATTTTCTGCGTGTGAAATTAAAGTTAGTGCAGGGCAGCATGGTGTTTATCTCCAGTCTCTCTCT